CTCCCTGCGCCCCTCCAAGAGGCGACGTGGCCGACACGCTCCGCTCGCCCATCGCCGACGCTTGGCTCCGCTCTCTCCCGGATCTGAACTAGGCGAGAGGCCGGTTCTGCCTTCGGATCCTCGCCCAAAGCTCTACGTTTGGGCTCTGCTGCCCATAATCGGGGCAGGTGCCGTCGTTGGGTAGTAGATCCAGAATACCGGGTGGCGACAGCAAGCCAAAAATCCCAGCGGAGGGCTTTTGAAGCTGCTGTGAGTGCCGCACTATTCTCGGGCGCATCAAAACCTGGCTGGAATGTACAGTCTCGCAGAGAGGAGTTTCGGCCGGGGAGGAGAAGGCGTCGGAGGCGAGCGGAGGAGAGCTCCGGGGAGACGCTCGTCACCCGCAGCCCTACGTCGCGTTTTGGGACGTTTCGCTCAGCTTCGTTTCGGTCGGCAGGATGTTAAGATATTTTTTTTTGTTTTACGTGCAAGAGAATGGCGGGACAGTCCGGTCCGGTGTCGCTACCTAACGGGAACCAAAAAAAGGGGAAGAGCGACGGGCGAAAAGAGCTACGGGAGTTGCTTCTTATAGACTGGGAGAAGGTTTGTGATTGCTCTGCAACTTCAACCTCTTCACGCCGGCACTGGAGTAGCCCTCGTCGCTGCAGACGCTCTGCAGGCTCCCTCTTTCGTCCGAATCGCTCGGGCTGCTGCTGGCGCTGCTCCAGTCGAGGTCGGCGGGAAGGTCGTCCGTGCTCTCCACGTCCACGTCTATCTCTTCTGCAAGAGGAACGCTTAGCGTTAACAGCGCGGCCGGCCGGACCTCTCGCCAGCCGGTCCCGCTCCCTCCCGAGCACGCGGAGGGTCTCACCTCTATCCGAGTCGGAGCGCTCCGAAGACACAGTGGATCCGATACTGTCCATCCTTGTCCTCTCTATCCCCAGTTTCTCCAGTTGCCTTTTCAGGTGCCGCTGCTCCCGCTGCAGCTGGTCTATTTGGTGTAGGGCTTTCCTGCTGTAGTCTTCAAGATTCTGCGGAGGATGGAGAGAGGAGGATTGAGCTCTCCGGCCTCCAGCCCCGCGGGAAACATCGCTTTCGCTACCGAAACACGACCGCCGCGCTCAGGACGTCGAGCAC